TTATTTATTTAATGTCTTTGCAAACAGTACACTGAGATTGTGTATATACAATAGTGGGTTGCAATGCAAAGAGAGCCTCTATTATGCTAGTCTAGTACTAGGTTCAAGTGGGATACGATGGGACAATAAGTTCGTTATGCCCATCTTCTCACCTGGTAAGGCAATGGCTTTACGACGTTTGTTCAACAGAGTTAACAAACGCTTGACCTAGTCTGGGAAGTCAGTGGGAGCTAAGTCTTTCTCCTCAACTGGTGGAACGGATTGATCCAGTGAAGTGGATGAAGTCTCCCCGGTAGAAATAGCACCGACCCACTGGTCAGGTGAAAACTCATCCTCTACCTGAACAAGGTAAGGATAGTGAACAAGGTCAACAAGATTGGTATTTGCTCTGAGATGAACACTGTGACCAGAAGTGTTAGCTAGGAAGAAATGTGACAGACTCTGACAATCCTCCTGATCCTGTACTCTCTACCTCTGATACTCAGTCAGACGATCAACCTGAATGTCATTATTCCCTACATACACGGCAGGTATTGAGAAATCCTCAAGTATCATTTGTAACTACCAATTCAGATTTGCCTCAAATACAGCATGAGTTAGCCAGTGCAACAGAGTTTGATCCTCCCAGAGATGACAACAATTCTGCATATGTCAATCTCACCCTAGCAGAGTTGGGGTTAAATGTAAATAACCTGTATGATGAATAATTACAGTATCAACTTATCAATATTCAAGAATTTTTTTTTTTTGTGTGTTCACGTTCTCTCCGAATTCTGAGATTTAACAGTCTAGATTTGAGTGCACCAAGTCTGCCTTTCTGTTAAACACTTATTTCTTTGTATATATTTCTTCCTCAGAATCCGTAGATCACATGAATACAGATCAATCGATCAAAAAAAAAAATTTTTTTTTTATCACTTCTATCGTGTAATCCCAATTGAGTCTCATTCTATGAGTTGTGCTATATCATACCTTGTAATGCATTACAGTTTCATTACAGTTTTACAGTTTCATTACAGTAAGTTTCATTATAGTCAATTACGTAAGCTTTCGTTCCAATATTCTACTTATGTATGTTATAATGTTCAATTGTTTGTACTTTGACATTGTATAGAATCAGCCCAAGCTGTATGCCTGCCGTCTCTAGTTTGTATTAGCTGTATGTCGGGACAACATACGTTAGCGTCGCCAAGCTCTCAGTAGTACCAGTTACCAGTAACCAGTTACCAGTAGATGACTCACTACTAACAGTGTGTGAATCACTGACTGTTATTCATGTTGCTGCTGACCATAGCATGTTTTTGAACGCCACTCACCCCCTAGGCACTGGTGGGTCAGTCTTAAGATAGAGAGCAGAGAGGCAGGGCGGCTGATGGTGCTTCCCATACTTTCCGTTATAATTATACGTACTTACCAGCCTACGTGAGTGTTCTTACCCTCATCCACATTTTGAACCCCACATGACACAATGAGTGATGATTAAATCATGGGTATTTTTCTCTGAACACTATCCATGGCGTCGTGCCACTTCCCCCCGGCGTCTACCATTATTCACTAATTTTTACCACTAATACAGTGGTCCCGTAAATCACGTTCCCTCACTCTTCACCAGGAACAGTTACGACACTTCCTATTATGAAGTGAGGCCTATATTAATCCTTAGGCCGCTGTGGATGCCAGTTTCCTTGTCTCACGTTTTCCCAGCCTCTTAACTCCATTCAAAACACTCCCGCCTCACGATGCCCCGTCTCGACCTCTCCTCCGCCCATCTGCGCAGGCGCAGAGCTTCCCTGTTGGTTCTCTTCTTCAAAATACACTTTAGAGCAACAGTAATGCATTAATTATGTATACAGTGGACCCCCGGTTTACAATATTATTTCATTCCAGAAGTATATTCAGGTGCCAGTACTGAGCGAATTTGTTCCCATAAGGAATATTGTGAATTAGATTAGACCCCCAAACATACACATACAAATGCACTTAGCATAAATACACTTACATAATTGGGAGCTGATCGTAAACCGGGGGTCCACTGTATTTACATTATAAAAAATATACAAAATAATTTTGGGAAATTATTTTCCACAGCTGGTATTAGCTAGTAAAAAAAAATAAAAATGCACAATAATGTAATAGTAACGTACACTATATGCACCACACGTATATATGTGTTAAGGACACTTTTCTAATCTGTTACAGAAATGTCAACTTTTGTAAGGAAGGTAGAGAAATCATGTTCATTTGAGATGGTATATTGTTGTCCTGTTGATGTTTTCCTAACTAGTATTTTCCCATCTCGAGTGAAACACTAATGTATTTTATTTTCCTGTTTAAGTTTTCTCAACCTGAACAGAAGGTTTTGACGTTTTCTCGTTAGACACTCGTTGGTGTACACTCCATTTTTCATTGTAATTGCTGATTTAATTAGGTCCTTTCTTTTATCATATGAATGAAGTCTGATCATAATACTGTGTCTACTACCTTGTTTTCCTAGCAAACATGTTTCTTTGATTTCATTGTTTTGCAGGATAATTTTTACGTGGTCATGTATTATCCTGATAGAAGTTTCCTTGCACCCGGTTTGGGTTATGTCACTAGGAATGTGTGGGCTGTTTATTATAACTGCATCGGACAACTTATCTTGTTCAGTTTTGTCATCTTGGAACTCAAAGTATTCATTCAGTCGAGTGTGCATGTTCTGATTCCAGTCCTCTATTGCTTCTTCAACCTTCATATTTAGGATTGTTATTTGCTCAGTGACTGGCTATAGCTGTTTTCAGAGTATTTTCTGTGTCAGCACTTCCCAATGTAATTCTCTCTTCAAGGTTTTGGATTTTGTTCTCGAGGATGGTTACCTTAGATTCATATTGCGCAAGTGTTGCTTTAATATCTTTGTTTTCATTTTCTAGAGCGACAATGTAATCGCTAATTGTGTCAGGAAGAATCATATCTGGGTGTTCTTGAGAGAATTCCTTTGAAGGGAGTGGAGCTGGAAGGGGAGTCAGCCATGTTTGTTGTTGTTGTTCCCTGGGCGGTGGTGAGAGGGGTTGATGATACACCGGCGTCCTGCTTGGTAGACATGTTGAGTTGTAGAGTCCTTGGTGTTATTCTTTTGTTACTGCAGTTGTTTCTTCTGTGACTTCCTTTCATTGTATCACTAAAGTAGATACTGTGAAGCTATGGAGGAGAAGGCTTGATTTCCTTGAGCTTAGGTTAAGTGAGGGGTAAGATGGAAAGATTTATGGAGAAACATCACCCTGACAAGGCTGTTGCAAGCCATGTCAGCAACATGGACAGTGACAAAGTCTTGGCCCATTTTAGGGAAGTTTTAATGAGATGCCAGAAACAGAGCTCTCTGGAAAAGTATTTAGTGCCACAAGTGTACAGTGACTCTCAAGCTGGTCCTAGTAGCATTAAGAAACAGAGAAGAGAAGTAACCCCAGAAAAGCACTTGGTACCTGAGGTGTTGATAGATGGGGATTCCCCTTCCAAACAGTAACTAATCCAATCTCTCTCCTCCTCCAGTCTTCCATACACAGAAAAATTGCCAATAAAAGTAAGTTTATGCTGTTAATGTTTCATTCATCATGTCCCATTGTATTGTGTATGTACTACATCTATATTTCATGTAAAAAAAGTTTTTGTTTTAATACTTCTGGGTGTCAGGAACGGATTAATTGTATTTACATTATTTCTTATAGGGAAAATGGATTCAAAAATCGTCAATTTTGATAATAGTCACACTTCCAGGAACGAATTAATTACGAAAAATGAGGGACCACTGTATATAGTCACTGGATATTTTCATATAACTGCTATCTTCATTCAGCAAGCTTGTGTTGTGTGTGTGTTGCTTCTAATTGTTCTTAGTCAGGGTAGCAGCTGTCAAAATGACATATTGTCTCATTACTCACTCCCCCTACTGCCTGTCAAAACAATGGGGTAGGATGCTCGCTTCCCCTCCATCCTATCTAATTATCTTTCTCCCTCAGTCTCTCTCTTTCTCCTTCATTCTTCATTCTTCTTCATTCTTCTGGTATCCTGGGCTATTATCTTCATTCAGCAAGCTTGTGTTGTGTGTGAGTGTGCTGCTTCTAAGTGCTCTTAGTCAGGGTAGCAGCTGTCAAAATGACATATTATCTCATTACTCACTCCCCCTACTGCCTGTCAAAACAATGGGATCGGATGCTCCCTTCCCTTCCATCCTATCTAATTATCTTTCTCCCTCATTTTCTCTCTTTCTCCTTCATTCTTCATTCTCCTTCATTCTTCTGGTATCCTGGGCATTGCTTCTGGTCACAAACTCCTCAAAACCATGAAATTGATCTTCACTGACACTTCCATCTGTGTTAGAGCATCACTTGGGAAGAGTAGAGTCCCAGATTTGCCGGGGAGTCACATATTTCTTATCTCTAGGCATGCTGAACAAGGACTACTGAAATGGCATTCCCACAATGCACCACTGGCTCCCCGATTTTTTTTATGTGGTGCACACTGACCATGAAGACCCATTCTCTCACTTGTGAGCCTACCAGCTTTCTCCTGCTTGATTTGAAGCCAGTAGAATTTATGCGTGTTAATACACCAAACACGGTAGCTCATAAGGCGTATATATACGACTGAAACAGTCAAAGGGTTAATAAAGGTTGTGATCAGTGCATATGTATCTTTTACCTAAAATTTGTCAATGCAGTATAGCATATCAGATCCACCTTAACAGGATAAAACAGGATAATCAGCAGTTGCTAGAAGAGGCAGGAAGCCAACAAGTAGATGACAAAAACACACAACAACAACTGTTTCAAATGTCTCTGTCATCTACCAGGAAAATATACACTGTGAGCATACTATGAATGTGCATTCAATTAAAATCTATGCAAAGAAGTGTTTTCAAGACATCTTCTAAACAAAAAGAAGCAGAAAAGAAAAAAGAAACTGAAATTACTGTGAGAACCCAATAAAATACAAGAGGGCAAAAAAGTAAATGATTTATCACTTACCCACCACATATTTGTCTGACACATCCATTTAGCCATTCTTTATCTTCATCCTTTATGTCAGGAACAGTTACTTCTAAGCCACCACTGATCTGCAGATTTGACAATTTTTCTGGTGCACAATTGTAGACAGGCAATGCAAGTGTAACACGAAGAAGTTTAACAGATTTATATATTCTGGATAAACTCTTACTTAGAGATCTGAAGGCTTCTAAAGTCATGATTCTGACACGAATTTTTTTCAGCTTAAAGCAAAAACTAAGAACTTCCTTTCCCTCTCTTTGATTTCCAAGTGAACCAGTGAAGGTTGTGAGATGACCCCATGGGTGAAGTGTACGAATGAAATCATCAGATGGTTTTGTGCTATATTCATTATGCCGCCAGAAATGCAACTCTACTAGGATGGGATTGTTTTTGTCATATCGATTTCTCAATTTGTCTCTCAAGTTGGTCATTGTATCTAGTAATTCTGGAATATCATAAGGTTCAACATTACTGGGCATTTCAATTTTAAGCTCCTGTAAGTCCACTGGAGTGTTACTTAAAAGTTGGAGTCCTGTTACAACATGAGTATCATTCAGCTCCCATCTCCTTAAAGGCAGTTCTCTAGCAATAGTGTATGCAACTTTTCTGTGATGGAGTGCTTCAGTCAAAATTTTCCACCAAAAATTGTAATTACCAATGCCAGTTTCTGATTTTTTTATTAAAGTAAATAGTGGTCCTATATTCTTTTCCAATATATGATTTATTGCCAAGTGGCCAGTCAGAAACACAATTACTTCATGATACTTCCGCCACTCAGTAATTTTATTACGAATGCTGTCTAATGTCTCCCCACCCATCACAGCATTTGCCAAGAATCCTGCAGCAAGATATTCCATTTGTGTTTTATGTAGAAATGCATAAGTGCTTTCAGTAGCTTCATTACTTTCCTCAATCTCACACATTAGAAAGGCAGACATAAATTCTATATCATTAATTTTTTCATACTCACATTTTTCTATAATTTTTTTCTTAATATCTTCAGAAATACAAATATTATTTGATTGGAGCATGAACCAAGCTTGTTTACCCAGAAACAGCATAACATTCTGTACTGCACCTGTGCGTGAAAAAGTACGAAGTCTCTCTTCAAGTTTTTTTTGACACAGTTTGAACAATTCACAATAAAGATTTGTGGCAGTGGTAACTCTGTTAAGAATATCTGGATTATCCCTCCAGAGATAAATTAAGAGGGCTAGTGTAAGAGGAAGTTTAAGGTGGCTTCCCAAAACTTTTCCACGTCCACGAATGTACTTTAAAAATTCACTAATTTGTATTTTCCTTTTCATTTCATTTTCTTCAACTGCAGTGAAAACTTTTATGGTAAATTCCCTTAATCCAGCATCATCAAATCCACAAACTTCAATTGAAAGACAATCCACATGATATCTGTTTGATAACAAAACTACATCTGTGTGATATTCAGGACGGGTTGTTAGTATTATACGTTTATTACTAAACTTTGCAAATATTTCTTCTACTATGTTCTTAGCTTCATCACCAGCTTCATCAAAACCATCAATGACGAAAAGTATGTCTAGCTCCTGCAGTAATGGTATGATTTCAAATGAGTCTTTAAACTGTTCATTGTGTGTCTTAGGGAGTCTTTGCTGAGTAAGATATTCTGTCAGGGTTTTTGACTTTACTGTTCGCACTTCAACAAGAAACACCAGATCAAAATTCTCTATAGTATTTATAATTTTCTCTGCAATCCCACACCAGTTACTTAAAATGTAACGACACAAAGAAGTCTTGCCAGATCCTGCTAAGCCATAGAGTATCAATGCACATGGGATTTTCTCCTCACCAGCTATTCTTGTAGATGCTTGAAGTAGTTCTGAGATTAAAATTTTTCTATCTGAGTCTTCAATTTTAAGTGGTGTGAAAATTTTATCAACTCGAAACTTTCTAAGTGAGGATTCTGAGCTATCACGTGATATCCATGTGCAGGGATTTAGAACCGTCAATTGCCCATAAAGTGTCTTAAGTTCTTTGCAACCATGAGCAATCAACTTGTGTGTCTTGTCCATCTTAAATGCCTTAACATCTTCTTCATATGTTATCATATCATCTTGGCGAATCTGAGCATCATGGATATCAGAAAGAGTTTTCTCCATTGTTTCAATATTTTCTTTAAAATCTTTTTGTAAAACATTACCTACACCTATATAAATCTCCTTTAAAACTTTTTTGAGGTTATCAATCTCAGCTGTTACATCTAGATGATTAGACTGATACTTATGACTTATTTTATTCCTCAATGACTTTAGGATAGTGATGTTTTGCTGGCAATTACTATCCAACTCATTATAAATATTATAACATACTGCAGTCATTAATCTGTAGGCAAAGGATATATCAAATTCATCTTTCATTATGTTTTTATCAAGTAGTGGAAGGTCTATTTTGGAAAATGCATTCTTCAATTTTGTCGAACCTAAGTCCAACACTTTCTTGAAGTACTCTCGCACCGACATTGTTTCCCCAGTAGAATTCACATGAGAGTGTAAATACATTGTTCGTGAAACATCACACATAGTCTTCTGGCCTACTTGGTTGATACACTTATACACTTTACTGAAATTGAAGTCTTCAAGCGAAAAGCCTTTGGGCATCCGACTCTCTGGTAAGCCAGTTTGCATCAATACAGTGCTGAGAAACATGGCCAGATGAGAAGCTGGTTCTCTCAAGAATTTCCAGCTATCCATTGTTCATAGTTGTTGGGCGACCACTCTTACAGCTTGATTTTTATCCACTGCCTGAAAAAACTATAAAATATTATAATTGGAAATCATAACTCCTAAAAAGAACTCAATTGACAAAAATACGTAAAATGCATTATTATTATTGTTACAGTTGTTTCTGTTATTTTTTAACACACTGGTTGTTTCCCAGTGAGGCAGGGCAACCCGAAAACGAAGCAATGCTTTCATAATGTTTTTCTTCATTGTACATTTAGCAATTTATACGGGAGAAGAGGTTACAGCTCATTGCTTTTGGCACTTTAGTCACCTCTTATGACATGTATGGCTTATGGAGGAAGGATTCTTTTCCACTTCTGCATGGCAATATTATTATTATTACCTTACATTCATGAAGAAGCAGTGAACCTACAGGGGTCATACGACACCTGGGGAATGGGAAGCAATCAGATTTAATCAAAGACTGGGAAGGACATCTCTAATTCTGTGCATTAAGAGCCCTTCACTGGGTTCAGGTCACCCATCTTGAAGGATAAGCACAAAGCATAATAGCATACTGCTACTAATAGGGAAGGGTTGAGTCTACAAATGATAGTAATAATAATAATAATAATAATAATAATAATAATAATAATAATAATAATAATAATAATAATAATAATAATAAATAATAATAATAATAATTTATTAAGACAAAGATACATAGTTGTACAAGGTATTATAGTATTTGGGTGTACATTTCAAAAGCCCCTTGTATGCAGAGCATTATGGGCAGGCTTAAAATTAACTTAAGATTAATGGAACAGTTATAGTAAACAATTTACAACACCAAGTACAACTGAGTATTTTAAGCAATGAAATTTGAACATTTCAATTTTGGAGCATTATAGTTTTACAATTTTGTAGCATTACAATGAATAATATAACAAAATGATTAGTTTACTATATGTAGTCGTACAATTTATTAATCAGATCTAATCAAATCAAATCAATGATCTGTAGTGCAGTAACAGTTCATATGGTCATTGGATGAGTTACAGTGCATTCAAGAGAATGGATTATTCTACTAGGTAATGCTATAATAACATAGTTTGGTAAGGTTTCTCTAATTATACAACTGGGTTATACATTTATGAGATATAAGTTATTCAATATTTGCATTAGATTAGATATGAGAATTTATTGATCTTTGAGTATTTATTTATGAGGTTCTAAGGCTAGGGGAGTTACACAGTGAGTAATGATATTTTGAGGCAGTAGAAAGTGATTTGTTAACTATGTAGGTAAAATTAAATTAAGTACTATGTACAGGTCCTCCATCACAAATCCGGCATCATTGGGACCTGTAGTGTGCCGGATTACCGAGTTTGCCGGATTACAGAGTGGTTAGGTTAGAATACACTTAATAAAATTAACCAATTTGACTTACACAAAGTTCATTGAACATCGGCAAAAATCGAACATTTCCACTATTTTGAGCTCAATTTCAAGGTACTTTTCATTATGAAAGCAATCAAAATCACGTCTATTTCTGTAAAATATCTTCCGTTTTATCAAATGAGACCAAAAAAACAAGAATATAATCATAAAAACCATACAAAAATATACCACAAAGAGGCGGCTAATGGCTGAGAAGTGAACTCCCTTATTTATTGTCCATCTTTTTTATTTTTGGTGTGTGTTAAGAAGCATCTTTCCATCATACATTGCCCAAGTTTCAATGAGATAGCCCAACAAACAACTGAGAAAAAAACAATATTTACCAAAAAATCATGGCAAGCCCAAGCCAGGTACTGGAAATAACTC